ACAGTCAGTAACACCAACAATAAACCATCATTAACCGTCAACAACTAGAAACTTCCCTTGGAAGAACATCTACTTCTCCTGAAAAGACTATGGGCATGCAAATCATGAATTTGTCACAACAAACAAGAATACGCAATGCGTCTATGAGCATGACACACAAACAACTGATGTACTGTAACTCCCAGAGCTCCTACAAGGAATAGGTAATGATCTATCGCACACAACTGACGACTGCAGCTTTCCATGAGCTACAAAAAGAAGAAAGTTTCGTCGAATTATCCCAACTACTGATAACAATCATTACCATGCAATTTCAGAACATTGTTTTATTCAAAAATAAATATTTTGTACAAGCATGGCGCATAAGATAACCGACTACAGTGAAAATCAACTTTCTGCTGCCTCTACGTATAAGCGCAGGGGTGATGAATTGAAATGACGTATGGAAGATGGATTGCAATCATCCTGCTTCCCTCAGTTGACAACGCCAGTAACTGAATCGTCTAAAGCATAACAGTAAACTGATTTGCGACACCTGTAGCTAGCCAAAGCATACGTTCGTAGCTGTTGTAGCATGTCTTGCAGTGTAACTTCTCTCCACGAAGGCGAACGTCCCGTCCTAACTGTTTGTTGCAAATGTAACAGCGGAAGCAGTCCAGATGGTAAAACAAGTTCAGCTGATTGATTGTCATCGCGGGTCCGCAGTCTGCAAAATAAAATATACAAGATCAGCCTTAGCGTTCAATTCACCATCACGTCGCCAGAAGCTAGAAATGAAAACTAAATGTCAATCACTACAAAAGTACTTAAGGCAAAAAAACCATACTGCTAAATAAGCAGAAATTAAACATTTTGCACTGATGATATATAGAGATAATTCGTTCTTATAATGAGAACGGCGTAAAGTTTGGAGCCAACGGTACAGAGGTAAACAGATCGATTTCAAATGGGAGGTACTTAGCTTGAACCCCGAGAAAGGACAAAATTTTGTCTCCAATAAGCACGGAACACCACGTAGATTCGGTGCACCCAGCCGAGAAACATCTATCAAATCGTTGATCTGTGAGCAACATCGATGGCATGGTGTTCTGGCGTGGTCATTTCAGAATGGGCGAGACGTACGGTACGGCCATGTTGTCTGATGCAAGCGCCTCTTTCAGCTGTACATAGTCTTAACCTATCAGGCAGCTGAGCACTCAGCGTGATAGTCAGTACAACATGGACCCCGAAAAATAATCCGAGGGAAATAAAACATGGAAATTACAAAAAGACAACGATTGCAGGCTGGCAATGGAGCAAAATGTACAAACATCGTAAGATAATGGGAAAGTCACAGAAAGCCGATCAGCTAGCATATCAAACCCACGCAAAGTAAACATGAGGATGAGGAGACAAATTTGGCATAGCATATAATCATGACTCGTGTGACGTGAGGGAGACCGAA